TGTCAACAACGAGGGCAGCTACTTCATCATCCATGGCGATTGAGTTTTATTGGTTTTCTGAAATTTAATTGGATAAAATACGTTATTAACAATACTTCTTGCCACAATTTCTTTTCTTTTCTTCTTTGAACAAATAATTCAGAACTCGAGAAATGAAATGAAGAAATCTTTCCCACTTGTACAACACATTTAATTTGAATAGCAGCACACGCATTTTCTATTACTCTTGGTAATGGACTGGTTTTTCTAACCGAAAATATTTTATTCATATGAATCAAGAATGATGATCCCATTCATAAAATTTCAACTTTTGTGTAATCACCAAATCAAAATGAAACGATCCAGAGATTGTTGGTAGAAAAATCTTTTCTTATATTAACTTTTCTGACGTTCTCTTCACGTTGAGCAATCGTTTAAAATCTTTAATCACATCTCTTCAAAAAAAAAAATGAAGTAAACCATTGCAAATGCAGATACTTTTCGTGTGTTTAAAACAGAAATAAAATCACTCGTTCAAGTGTTTAGATTTGAAAAAAATGTATTCTTAGCTATCTTTTCGTTCCATAAAATGTTCTTTTTACGAAAGAATTGTGCTGAGGTGTTCACTAAATATCCATTTCAATTCTCAGGTTTGAAATTCAATCACAATATTTCTCTCTTTTTCGACACAAAATGCGGACGATTTTGGCACTAACCTTTTTTGAAGGAAAAAATAACTTGTTCAGACTACACTCGGGCAGTTAACGAATCGCAATCAAAGCTACGAATGATCGTCTGGATACAGTTCAACTAATATTTATAAAACCAAAATCTTTCACGCCGTTCAAAAATATATCCACACAGAAGGTTTTTCACTCTCCCACATAGTTTTTCACACATCTTTGTTTATTAATATGTTTTCGCTCACCAGCGCGCGACGCCCGTGTCAAGGAGCTGGATGAAAAGAGAGCACATGCGATCAAAGATAGAGAAAAAGAAACGAGAATAATAACAAAATATGAAGATGTGTGTCTTTTTCATATGCCTATCCCACGGCAATGTGGTTCATTGTGTAAGCCATATACGAAAACGGATACAGGCAAATGCATGTGTGGTGCGTTTTTCATAGGCAAAATATTGTTTTTAGAATAAGATGAAATAATCACCGGACCCAAAATAGAAGAGCATTATCGAGCGTCGATGTATTGAAGTAGCAATCGCTTCGTTTGTTTTACAAGCATATGTAGCATTCTTTCGGAATAGTTTGGCATCCCATACATGGATCGAAGACCGATTCAGTGTTCGCGCGCCCGAGACATGCATACGTATATATCACTAAGCGGTGGCTTCGCTTACTCATTATTAATGTAGGGAGCGATGCCCAAATATAGAAATTATGCATTTAAAAGTGAAAAATAGACGCGATGGAAATCCGATCAGTATTCCAGCATTTCATGCATAAGAATTAAAATGAATTTAACTACGGCAATCAGCAACTGAGTGCATTGCATTTTTCGTTCTGTTTTTTAGGCTCGTTCATGTTTTTCGTATAAGGATTTGAATTTCAAAAAACATTTCGACGTAATATGACGTGTAAATTTCCTCGGTTGTATTTTTGTGTGCTTTTTAAGTGTCGTAATGATGTGTGGATCGGATCACACATGTAAACAAATGAAAAGGTAGAAAGAGAGAGTGAGAGAGAGTGAGAGGACATCGGCATGACTAAAAATGAAGACGCCACTCAAGGCGAATTGAATGATATTCTGTGGGTTGTCACGCAATCTGCTTCGTTTCACACGTTACGACCGTTATTAGGTGCAACAAATATGGGAAGATGACTAATAGTATGATGTACACATTGAAAGCAAATCGACAACAGTCAAAAAGAAAACCCATTCTAAAAAGAATATCCTTTCCCCTTTCCATTCATCGATATTAATTTGAATTCGAATTCAAATGAGATACGTAATCGAACGACAAGACAATATCGTTTGGAAATATCAATGTGTGTTTCAAAGTGTAATTACAAAATCGTATGATGCCAATACATACTGTGATGAAATATTTGTTGCAAAATATGTGGTTATTTCATTGGCCGAACCAAAAAAAGCAAGAGAGGTTTTCTGATTAAATCATTTTTATTTTTAAACATAATCTCAAACATCTAAATTCGATTAAGTCTATTTTCACAATTTATATCGCCTCATCCAGATTTTTTTTATAGCCAACAACACGAACGAGTAGCGTCGTGTGAGTGTGTGTCGGCTATTTTTCCATTCTCCTTCAAAAATATTTTTCCGTTTGCTTACTGAAATGTTCCGTTGGTAGCAAGAAAAGAAACGCAACATCATCATTTCTATTGAGTATTCCATATTTATTTGGCTGTCTGGTGGGTTGGATGAACATTTTTTTCGGTATACTAAAAATAGTTAGTTCTAATGTGAACTCTCATCTCAAGGAAATTAAAAGCAAAGCTGAAACATAGAAAAAAGATGAAAAATTTTCGTTATAAAAATAATTTTTTATTGATGTTATTCTGTTGATTTCGCAGTCTTAGAAATTAACACTGTTTTTCTAATCTTTATGTACATATTCAATATTATTTTTTTACGCAGTGATTGCTTTCAATGATGGTAAGGTAATTGACATGATTACAAGAAAAATGCCAACCACAAAATATAACAATAAACAATTGAATAATGAGTTTAGAAACATTTGCGGTGAACAATTCCTGGACCGCTTTCGTCGTATTCTTCCTTTGAGATCCACATTTGTTGGAAAGTGGACAATGAGGCCAAGATGGAACCACCGATCCAGACGGAGTATTTACGCTCTGGTGGGGCGATGATCTTGATCTTGATGGTTGATGGAGCCAATGAGGTGATTTCTTTTTGCATACGATCAGCAATACCTGGGTACATGGTGGTACCACCGGACATGACAATGTTGGCGTACAAGTCCTT